AGGCTCTGACCTACCTTTCACCCTTTCAAAGGTCACTGTCTGAGGAGGTGCCGAGTTGACCAGTTCATCCAGCTTTCTCTTGGCCGAATTGATGGTTAAGTCGTTGAATCCTCCACCATTGATGACCATGGTGGAGGGAAAATATTCCCACCTGTTGTGTGTTGTGAGCGGCTCCTGCAGGTGTTCGGGGACGTAGAAGTCCTCCGGTCTGGTGACGAAGAAGGCGGCCTGGACGGGGACCGATTCGTCAGATGGTCGGGCGTCTTCCTCCGGTTCTCTTGTCTCACGGGCGTCGCGACGAGGAGCGTCGTTTCGCCGGTATTGGGCGAGCCTCCCTCCTTTGATGAGGGTTTCGATGGCGTCCTTGAGGTGGACGCAGTCTTCAGTCAGATGACCATGGCTCCTATGGTACTGACAATACTTGCTCTTGTCTACTCCGGGCTTGGCAGGAGCAAGTCAGAGGCGTTTGACACTGCCGTCTTTGAAGTCTGTGCTGGCACACTCTGCCAAGATGCGCTCGCGGGAAGCTGTGAGCGGAGTGTATTCTGTGAAGCGCCCGGAGGGTCCTCTCTGTTCGCGGACTTCTCGGGGTCTGTCCTCTTTTCTTTTCTCCCCAGTTCGTCGAGGAGGAGCGGCTTCTTGGCTCAGGTTGCTGCTGGATCCGCGAGTTCTGGGGTCCCGGGCTCTGTTGGCCGCCTCCCTTTCCTCATAATCCATATATGCCCGGGCCTTCTCGAGGAGAGCATCGAATGTTAGGGGTGGTTCGATGCCCACCGCCTTTCTAAATTCTGTGCTGGGGAGGAGCCCCCTCTCCAGCAAGTACCTTTTCATGTGGTCCGTGCAGGGGACCTGTATGGCTTCGCGATTGAAGCGATTGATAAATTCTCTCAAGGTTTCATCCTGTCTCTGGATGATGGCCTCGAGTGCTGCCTCGGTCTTTGGGTGTCGCCAAGACGCAGTGAACGAACTTATGAATCGATTCTTCAGGTTTCGCCACGAGGTGATTGATCCCGGGGCGAGGCCTTTATACCAATCCATTGCTTCCTTTATGAGGGTCGTAGGAAACAACCGACATTTGATGGGTCCCCCAACATTGTGGTAATGCGGCATAGCCTCAAACCCGTCTATGTGGTCGACTGGGTCCGCGACTCTGTCGTATTCCTTTAGATGTGGAGGCTTCTCCATGCCCGGGGGAATGGGCGCCTCTATGATGGCTTGTGATAGGGGACCGCGGGGGTCGTCCTCGTCACTTCGCTCCGGGGACAGGGATGGGGACCTGAGATATTGTCGTGCCCGACGGTCCTGGTCGTGCTGGGTATCCCTCGAGCGTGGTGCTCGTTGGTAAATTCTTTCGTGCCTGTCTCCAGAGTGTCTTCTTTCTTGCCATGTGGGGCCATGGTTGCGCCCTCCGGCTTCGATGACGGGTTGCCTCTCCAAGGGGGGTCGTCTCCTCGACGGGCGAGGCGACGGGCTTCGGGAGATGTCTCTGTATTGTCTCTGTGGGGGAGATGGGAGATGTACCTCTATTACTCGAGGAGGTGGAGTCTGAGGCCTCCTATGTCTCCTCGCGGGTCTTCTAGCGCCCTCAATCTTTCCCCCTGGGCAAAGATGAGGTAGTTGGTTTGATTGATCGCCGCGAATAGTGCGCGGGTTGTGGCATCTGCCCCGGTGGGGACAGGGACTTCCTGAAATTGGGCAGCTCGATAGTTTAGGGGAGCTGCATTGTCTTCTTCGAGCGGCGGAGGGACTGAAGAAGATGAGGCAGTAGCTCCGTCGCGGTGGACTGAGGGCCCAGGGATGGTGCCCCCGGGGAGTGTGCTATGGCCGGGGTTGCTGGCGTTGTCGGGAATTCCGTTTTTATCCGCGAGGCTGTTGTTGACGTCGATGATGCAGACGTTTTGGTCGTCCCGGACTTGGTCAACCATGACGGTAGGAGGTGATTTTGAGCTTTGGTCTTCGAGGGTTTGCAAGACGGGGAAGCTAGCTTCCCACAGACGGCGCCACTGATCGTACCTGGTCAGACTTGGACCGTCACGACTGGCTCGGGCAAAATTTGAGTGAGATGGGGGGATACATGCAAGACACTCCGATGCTAAAATGAGTGACAAAATAAGCAGGAAAAAGTATATAGATGCGTAAGAGATGAATACATGACCCTTTAGGAACAGAGGGTATTTATAGCCCCCAACGCTGGGCCAAAGTCCCCTTATTGGGCCGACCAGAACTGGCCCAATAAAGGAACTGTCAGGTTCTATGTGTGTAGTGGGGACCCGCACGTGGTCCCCTTCCTGGTGATGCTCTGTGAAGAATGGGGAGGGAATAAGACGCGGTCTTTCTAGAGTTTAGATGATTCGATAACGGTCAGAGAGCACGGAATCTGCCCTACAAGGAGGGTGCTCGAGCAGGACTCGAGCTGGAGTTCCCTTGGTCGGGGACATCATGTGTCGTGGACAATGACAGGCATGACTACAGTCTGTGGTCGGGCACGTCGACGGTGATCCGCGGGTGCGCATTCCTCGAAGAGTCTGCTTGGATTGGACCTTTATATTTGTATTGGGCCAGGGCGGCCCAATCCAGAACACTTATAATTAATAATTAATAATTAAAATGAAACAAAATTGAAAGAAATAACTCCCTCCTACATTTTACTCTCTTCTTTAATCATATATATTTTTTTATTTATTCTTTAATTAATGCAAAAAACCACACACACAATAACAAGTGACATGTTAATTAAATAATAAAAAAATAAATATAAACAAGAACCTAAAACCTTTAGAAGCAGATGAATTTTCTTTTTCTTTAAACGATTTCTTTTTTCTCTCAATACCATTTGCTTCTTTCTCTTCCAAAAAGACTTCTTGCTCTTTCAAACAAAACACTAAAACATGTAATAATTTGAAGAATTAAAACGACAAAAGCGTGAGAGAGGAGACTTAGCCTGGTCATTCAAAGGGGTGCAGTCTAGGTGGTGGTCGCCGGATCTGCATCGGCTCGGTCTAAGTGACAGCACTACAAAAAAGAAGCTTATTTGCCACGTGAAAATCACGTGGCAAACATCAAAATCACGTGGCAAAACAAAAATAGCGACGTGGAGACATATGTCGCTGGGGAGCCAGTGGCAAGCCAGTAGCGACGTGATTCCCATGTCACAAAGTTGTGACGTGGTATTCACGTCGCAAAAGCTTGGTGGCGAGTGGAGGCTTTGTGCTCTTTCCGATTCAACTTTCTTTTGAATTCCTGCAAAGAAGCTTGAATTTATAGTGTGAGTTGAAGCAATTGAAACTATTTTATTTGAGTAATTGTTGAAAGTTTTCTTTTAAAGACAATAAGAGGGTTTCTGTTCAAGACAAAAACCCTGAAATAAATCAAAAATAAAAAAGAAAGTTTGTAAGAGAGATTGAAAAATTATTGATATGCAAATGATTGTTGATATCTATTTGTGAAAATTAAAGGACTATTTATATCTAAAAATTAGGTTAGAAATTTAATGAATTGCTCTATTTTTGGAAAGATTTATACAAATTGAGACTTGGGGGATAAGATTATGAATATAGAAAACGAAAATAATAATAAAATAATTGAAAAATAATTTTTTAATCCTTTTTATTATAAAAAACACAAAAAAAAAATACTAAAAAAATAATATAACGACAATTGAACTCAGGACCTTCCACTTACAAGCTTTACTCTCTTATCAACTATGCTATGTGATTCTATTGGAGATAAAAAACATATAGAAGTATATGAAGGTGGAAAAATATTTTACTATTTTAAAAATACAAATAATTTAAAGTAAATTATTATATATTTTAAATAAGCAAAATAAATTATTGTTAAATCGAATGTTATTAATACCAAAAAATTTATGAAACTAAGTTTAAAAATAATTTGAATATTTTAAAAATGGTGCGGGCAAATTTAGGGTACAACACTGTATTTGATGTAGAAGAAACTAATCATGAAACTAGACAAAATATGTGGTAATAGACCGGACAAAATCATAGATTCTAATCCCTCACTAAACCATGAGACAACTTTTTATCCCAAACATAATAATAATAAAAAATATACTAAAATATCATTTTTACTTTATTTTTTTTATTTAATATTTTAATTCATAAATATAATATTAATATTTTACATATCAATACACAATATTATAAATAAAATTATATTATTTTTATTCAATTCATAGACATATCAAACAAATTAGAGAAAACAAATATATTTATCATTTTTATTTTCTTTTTATTATTTAATATTTTGATTCATAAATATCAATATTTTATATATTAATAAAAATTATTATAGACACGTTAAAAAAATAGAATAAAAAATCCCTCTCTTCATTAATATTTTTTAGTTCATAAATATTAATATTTTATATATTAATAAATAATATTATAGTAAAATTATATTATTTTGTCGGGTACATTGACGTACCAACAAAATTAAGAAAAAAAATTGTACATTGCAGTAACCATCATAACACAATACAATAAAAAAATATATATTAAAAACAAGAGACAAATGATATTAATTAAAAATGAGAATTGTCATAAAAAATTTGTAGAATCAAAACTTTGTTCGATTTAATTAAATATTATTACAAAAGAAATGAAATTACGGTTTCAGTAGATTTAATTTAAAATTATCAAGAATGCAAGTAGAAATGTTCAAAATGAAATCATATTTGCAATATAAAATATAATATATGACTTAAAGTAAAACCTTGTGTTACAATTTATATAAAAATCTAGAAGAAAAAAATATTTTTGATATATTGGAGCACAAAATATTTTTAGTCCAATATATTTTAGGAAATCTATCGGATTGAAATAAAATTAGAGAAGATACCGATCCTCCAAATAAAGATTTTAATTAATTATTTGTATTGAAAAAACTTTCTAAAAAAAACTAGGGCAAAATATAAATATATATTACTCAAAGTGAGAACACTTGTAGAAACACAAACAAAACAGTGCAAGAAAAAAACAATGGCCGTTTCATCATCTTTTTCTCTTTTCATCCTTTTTCTTGTGTTTGCTTTTGCTGCTACAGCGCCTATGGGTAAGGATTACATCGTTGGTGGCAAACCTGATGCATGGAAAGTTCCTTCTTCTGAATCTGAATGTGACTCTCTCAACAAATGGGCTGAGGGAGTTCGTTTCAACGTTGAAGATCATCTTATTTTCACATATGAAGCTGGAAAAGACTCAGTTTTTGAAGTGAGCAAAGAGAATTATGTGAGCTGCAACACCTCAAGCGCGATAAAAAAGTACAACGATGGAAAAACCAAGGTGAGATTTGATTTTTCAGGTCCGTACTACTTCATCAGTGGAGAAAAGGGTCACTGTGAAAAGGGTGAGAAGGTTACTGTGGTGGTTATAAGTCAAAGAAGTATCGTATCTCCTTCACCTTCTGCTTCTCCTGCTTCGGCTCCGGTGGCTCCTGTACAAGGTCCAGCTGTTGCTCCAAGTCCAAAGAGCAGTGCAAATGTTTTGCAGGGTGGTGGTGTTTTGATGGCCATGGGAGTGGTGGTGGCTGCTATGTGTTTTTTCTGATTTGATTTGTTTACTTTTTAGTTTGGATATTATTATTATTATTATTATTATTATTATTATTATTATTATTATTATTATTATTATTATTATTATTATTATTATTATTATTATTATTATTATTATTGGTTTATGTGTTTTAGAGACAGTCACAATGAGGTGATTGCTAGGGTTTCTATTTTGTTTGGATCATATCATTCTATTTTTAGTAAAAGTTATGAATTAAATAAAAAATAGCATACTTTATTATTGGTTATTGTAAGAAATAATAATAATTAGTCATAATTAATAAATTTTGATTTACATTTTTAATTATAAGAAAGGAGAAGAATTAATCATAATTATTAAATTTTAATTCATTCAAATTACTGAAATAGATTTATGTTTGTTTCCGCACTCCTCTTTTATTCTAACTTATATAGTATTATAATGATACTTAATTCACATTATATTTTAAGAAAAAAACTATCTATTGCCATTTAAGAATAACTAGTCATTTTGAATTTTGTTTTAGGTTTTTGAACATAAACTAATTTCATCCCAAAAAAGAAATGTATATAATTATATATTTATCCAAAAACATAGCAATTAATATAATTATATATTAATTAAAAAATTTTACTTCTTGTATATATTATATAATATTGGTGTATTAAAAAAAATAAAGGAAAAAATATATTGATTAATTTTTTGATAAAACAATATATAATTATATTTATTATAGAAAAATATTCATTAAATTTCAATAATAATAATAATAATAAAATGTTGAATATTCATTATATTTATTTTATAATAAATATTTTAATTATGAAAAAAATACTATATATATCTGTGTGTGTAAGTGAATAGAGTGAAGTTTTTATATAAATTATATAAATTATATAAATTGCAATAAAAGAGGAATATAGATAAAAATTGATCTAAATCATTCATTTGAAGGAATCGAAATTGATTGATTATGATTAATTGTTCTTATTTCTTAAAATAATTAATTGTAGACCCGTCATATCTAAAGGAGGTGGGGGCGGTAAACATGATGAAATTAGAAGTCATGATTATTTGGGAAAAATCTAAGAATGTCTCAAAAGTCAGAAGCTTTTTAAGGCTAGTTGGATATTATCATAGATTCATCCAAGAATTCTCTCGGTTAGCGTTACCAATGACTCAACCCATTTGGAAGGAAGTTCCTTTTTGTTGACATACAAAGTGAGTAGAGTTTTGTTAAATTGAAGAAAAAGTTGACCACTGCTCCCGTTTTGATAATCCCAGATTCTATAAGTATTATGAAGTGTTTTGTGATGCCTCGAAGAAAGGGCTAGACGGAGTTCTAATGCAAAGTGGGCAGGTCATGGCGTAGGTGTGGCGACAATTAAAACCTCGTGAAGAGAATTATTCGACGCATGATCTCGAGTTAACAACTATATTATTTGCATTTAAGGTGTGACACCGTTATTTGTACGAAGTGCATTTTGAAATATCCAGTGATCACAAGAGTTTAATATATCTCTTTGATCAGAAGGAGATAAATATAAGACAGAGGAGATAGATGGAATACCTAAAGGATTATGATTTCAAGCTCAATGAGGAGATAGATGGAATACCTAAAGGATTATGATTTCAAGCTCAAGTACCATCTAGGAAAGACAAATAAAGTGGAAAATGCACTAAGTCAGAAGGAGATGCATACCGATGAACTGATGATATTGGAGCATGACCCGTTAGAGAAATTTAGGAATCTTAATATGCAATTTGTGTGGACTCTGGATGGTGTTCTAATCGGAAACCTCAGTATCACGCGTGACTTAAAGGAAAGAATTCGGGATAGTCACGTGTCTGATTTGTAATTACAAGCTAAGACTGTTCAGTCAAGTTTTTTTTCAAGTTGTGGAGTGATTCATCCTTTTTAATTATAGGACATGTATACCAAATGATGTGGATTTGAAAAGAGTCATTCTAGGGGAAGCACATAAGAGTGGGTTACCTTCCATCATGGTTCTTCAAAGATGTATCAAGATCTGAAGAACTATTGGTGGCCCAAAATGAAGAAGGATATTGTAGATTATGTTTCCAGTTTCCTGGTGTGCCAACAGGTGAAGATCGAGCACCAAAGACCATGTGGTTTACTTCAAAAATTAGAAATTTAAGAATGAAAATGGAAAAGTACTTCCATGGACTTCATCATGGGATTACCGCATACACTGCAGGGTCACAGCTTGATTTGGGTAATTATAGACCGATTTACCAAATCAACTCACTTCTTGGGAGTTAAAACCACGTACAAGGTGATTCATCTCACAAGATTATTCATTGCGAAAATTATGAGGTTATATGGTGTCCCTCTAACACCATCTTTGACCAGGATCTAAAGTTCACTTCAAGATTTTAGAAAGCGTTTCAGCATGTTATAGGGACGAAGTTGTGTTTGAGCTCATTGAATCATTGTCAGTTGAACGATCAAATTGAGAGGTTGATTTAAACGTTGGAAGATATGTTATGGGAGTGTGTGCTAGAAAGTGGAGGAAGTTGGAGGGATCATGTGCCCTTGATCGAATTTGCCTATAATAATAGCCACCATGCAAGCATCGATATGGGTCCATATGAAACTTTGTATGGAAGATGATGTAAGATGCCTCTTTGTTGGACGAAAGTCGATGATAAGTGGATTCTTAGACCGAAAATCATCCAAAAAACCACCTAACAAATCAAGGTGATCTGTGACAAAATGAAGAAAGCCCAATATCCCAGAAGAGTAATGCTGACCAGCGAAGAAGGCCATTGGAATTTTAAGAGGCACTACTATTAATAATATATTTCATGACAAAAATTTCACCTATCCAACAAAAATCGAGGTGTAAGTCATAGACGCGCCACGTTTTAAATTTTTTTTTTAAAAATACCATATATTTCTTTGGTTGAACTGAAAACCAAGGGGTAAAATATTTAGAGGACGCGCCTTCAAATTCCAACAACTACATTTTAGCATCTTTTAATTTTTAAAAATTTTTTTTTATGACTTATTATCTCGGTTGGGATGGAAACCGAGGGGTAAAGTATTTAGATGACACACATTTAAATCCCAACAATTACATTTTAGTACCTTTTATTTTTTTATTTTCTTATGACTTATTACCTTGGTTGACTTGGAAACTGAAGGGTAAAGTATTTAGAGGACACGTCTCTGAATCCCAACAACTACATTTGATCACCTTTTATATTATTTAAAAAAAATTATGACCTATTTCCCCGGTTTCATTGGAAATTGAGGGGTAAAGTAACATTTTTTATTTACTTATGACTAATTTGATGAAAATATTAAGTAATGAATCTTTAACGTCTATTTATAAAGTAATAATGATCAAGACATTGTCAACTCATGAATCCACATGAAACTCTCACGGGCCAATCAAAATGTGAATGCCACAATTATCCATCTTGGATGCAAAGTGCTAAAATATAAATTTAACATATTGAAAACAATGATAATGGAAGCAAGAGCAGAAAAATATTTCAAAGTTGGTTTCTATGTAATATTTTTTTAGTATTGTTGTTGTTGAAATTTAATATTTAACGATTTTATTGATTTTTGTTTTTGTTTTTTTTGTTGTTGTTGAGATTTATAGTTTAAGTATTTTGTTGACTTTGTTTTTGTCTTGGTTATTGGTGTTAGTGTTGATAATGACGAAGATTTGGAAATCGTCAACAAATTTGATGCTTTGCAGGTTAAAACTAAAATGTTTTTAACTGGAATTTACTCCTTGATTATTGTTAAAAACCGAGGTAAAAAGTAGTGCAGTTTCGAAAATCCCAAAAATGCAGTTGTTGGGAATCAAACCCATGACCAATGCCACTTTTCCTTCGGTTATTCAAAAACCGAGAGGTAAAGTGGCAGGTTTACATGTCGTCCTTCGTTACCTTGCCTATGTAAACGAGGTTATATCTCCTTTGTGTCTAAGATGAAATGAGGTTATTTATAGTAGTGACGGGATCACACTTTCTTGAGGGTCACCCCAAAGTTGAAGCTAAAGGGGCCTTTCAAGACAAGGAAGTTGAGTTTGAGATACGTCGGGTCGTATCAAATCATAAGACAGATAGGTGAAGTGGCATACCAATTAGTGTTTTCGCCTTCCCTATCTGGGCTACATTATGTGTTCCGTATATTGTAACTCTGGAATTTATTCTAGATTCTCTTTATCATATACTTTTGGTCACTGTTGAACTAGAAGCAGATCCCTCATTCCAAACTCAATTGAACGTAATTGTGGATTATGCAGTTAAAACATTAAGGAAGAATGAGATACCTCTTGTGAAGGTCTTTTGGGAGAAATCACATCCGAGCGAAGCCACATAGGAGCACAGGTCGGAGAAGAGAGAGTCATATCCTCATCTATTCAGGTAAATTATAAATTTGAGTACAAATTTTAATTTAAGGGGGAATATAATGCCCTAATTCAAATGGGCATGATCATGTTCTAATGGTGGTTTAATCTCTTACTAGCTAGTAATTTAAACCATATTAAGAAAGTCAACGACATACTTAGAGATTTTCAATTAATTACAAGGACAAAAGTGTCTTTATGCGAGTTCTCTATATAAGGTCAAATTGATTATTTTCCTTCATTTGTCCTCATTATTTCTCTTTATAAAGTTCAAAATTTAGGGGAGATAAAATAGATCTAGGTGGGGGCGAAAACCCTAAGGAGAAGGAAGAGGAAAGTTCTTGAATCCATCATCATTTTCTGTGTAAGTAGAAGTTCTTGATGTTTTCTTGAAGAAAAGGGTTCCAAGAAACTTTGTTCAATATCTTCTGACCACCATCATCACCTTTTTTCCATTACCTAAGCTCAAGTCAAAATTATGATCCTTGAGGTGGTTTCAATTAGATAGGGGATGAATTAGCCCTAGGAAGGTTTGATTCATGTTAGGAAAGGGAATAAGTTTATGTGTCATTGATTCTATGCATGAATGTTATGTGCTTACCACTTGATTAGTGATAACATAAC